TGGTGCGCAGGCAAAGATCACCCCACATCACTGAGAGAGAGGGAAAGCACTAATACGGCAGACATGTCTGCAGAGCCCGCTCTCCGCCGCCACCCCACAGCAAGGAGATGAGGCACCTTGGCCTCTCCAAGCCCTTCTTCATGGGGCAACCTGTGGTCTGACGTGGACCAGACCAGCTGGGCAGGTGGCCACCTCCCCAGAGTGTCCTCAGCACCCTCCCTCTCCAACTAACCCGCCAAACATTTCATTTACCTTTGGGGCAGCGTGGCCGTGCGGCACCAGATGCCAGGAGAAGCTGAGGTGAGAGGAGCCCAGGTGGCTTCTTCAGAGATCTTTGCCTTCCCCGCAGCTGCAAGGAACAGCTTTGTCTGGCTGTGGGGAAGATCACAACCTTAGGATCTGGGGTACTTGTAAAATCAAAGCCCCTGCCATGCCGGTATCCATCCTGGCTGTTCTGCAGGATTCCCCAGAAGCAGCAGCCTGGCCACACAGTCCTCCAGGACAGGGAGTCCCACAGCCACGTTTGCTCCTCCAGGCAAAAGCAGAGAAATCTGAACCATGAAAGGCGATGTGGATCACCCCACCCAGCTCCTCCTGACCTAAAGATCCCACTGATCTCATCTGTCCTCAGCCCGTCCACGCTGCAGCTTGTTCCCCCACGCAGCGGGGGTGCGGGGAGAGCCTCCTGGCCAGCCCTGTGGCCTGGCGGGTGGCACAGCCACGGGAGAGGGTCCCCAGCTCTCCGGGGAGCCCCGGGGACGCTCACCGCCGGCAGACGGCGAGGAGACAGGGGCGAGCCGAGGGGCTGGCTCGACACGCGCCGGAGGGGGGCAGCGCGAAGCACAAAGGGTCTCCCATCCTGGCCGCTCTGCCCTGGAACGCAGCATGGGAACCGCTGCCCAGGACAAATCTGTTCCTCATTATCCGTCCCCACTGCCGACGGATCCCGGCTCCGTCACCAGCCGCTCGCCGCCCAGCCCTGGCCGTCCCGTCAGCCGAGCAACTTGGGCACGACTTCACCAGCCAGCACAGCGGGGCAGACTGGGGCCAGGGCTGGCATCTGCTCCTCCGGAGGTAATGCCGGGATGAAAATGAAGTGTTCCCTCCACCGACAGGCAGGGGAGGCTTCCAGTGAAAGCAGGGAGAAGGGATGGCTGCATCACGTGCGAAGAGCAGGAAAGCAAACATGGGAGAATGCCGGAGAGGTGCTCAGTCTGATTGCATCCAGGTGAGCTGGATGCTTGGACAGACAGGGAGAAGTGGGAAGCAGCAGAGAACGGACTGACGTGTCTCCAAAACATGTGTACCCCGACACAATCAGTCTGAACTGCATTCTCCTGCATTTGCCTTCCCATTGAAAACGTGAGTGTGACCAAGGTCTCTGCCACGCTTTGTGCTTGCTGGGGCCAAGGGAGACGTGAGAAGCTGGGCTCCTGTTCACTGGCTTCCCACCGCTTGTTCCTCTGTAGGCCATCATGAAAACATCATTCGAGGGTGTCAGAAGTGCTCCAGAAACAGAGCAGAATGAAAAATCATGCAAGGTTGCCCATGAGTCAGCAGCACCCTTGCTGCAATGGAGAACGTGAAGCTGGCAGGTTCAAGGAAATTATTATTCCTCTTGATGAGGAATAATACAACTGGGTACTAGCTCCAGTTTGGGGCTCCCCAGAACAAGATATATATGTGTATATGTATCAGAGAGAACCAGCTTTAGGAAGACAAGGCAAAGAGGGGAGCTACCTACAGGGGAGCGCAGAGAAACCAGAGCCCAACTCTTCTCAGAGGCACACCTGGAAGGGCAAGAGGCAACAGGGACAAGCTGCACCAAAGGGAAATTCTTGCTGGGCATGAGGAGAATATCATTCTGTGCAGCAGTGGTACAGCCATGGTGTGGCTGCGGGACAGGGTGACATCTCCATCCTTGAGGACTTTCCAAGCCCAACTGGACAAGGTTCTGAGCTACTTGCTGTAGCTTTGCCATCAGCCTTGTATGGAGTCAGGGTCGGACTGCAGAACTCCCGAATCCCTTCCAGCTTAACATTTACCTGCCGTTCTAACATGCATTGTGCAATGGCGAGGTGGTGATTTCAAGACAAGCGCGCAATGCTGCTGCTTTAGCTGACTTGGGAGGTGGCCAACACCAATCCATCGCCCACAGCTTGGCTCTTCCATCCAGATGATGCCCTCGTTACCAGAGCTGCCATACATCCTCTTGCTGACTTCACAAGTTCTGGTGCCACAGAGAAACTGGAGGAGCTGAGCATGGGGGAAAGTAAATCCCTATGGAAAAAAAAATGTGCAGGTCTAATGGCAGGCTCTGAGGAGAAGCCTGCGTGCAAAATGAGGGGTCTGCGATAGGCAGCTCCGGGATGGGGTTGCTTATAATAACAGTCAGAGGGTTGGACGTTCTGAGTTACAGTCTGACAAGCAGCTCCTTTGGTTATGCCTTACTCTGCTGGAGAAGCAGAGGTTTGGGCACATGTGTGCGTGGTTTGGCCCAGTTCTTGTGTTTTTCCACTGAAGCACTTTGGTATTTTTAGGCTGAAAGAGACGGCTCTGTGCTATGCTGGAAGGATCAGAGCAGTCCTCCGCAGGGAGGACGTTGCCCGCTTGCTCTCCCTGTAAAGTGAAATAAAGGGAGCGGTGTATGAGAATAAAAAAACCTGATAAAACCCTTTGGGAAGGGTGTAGTGGGAGCCACCATCCCTGGTCACAACATGGCTGGGGTCAAGGGTGGGAAGAGGAGGCTCCAAGCTGCTGGCTGGTGGCGTGGAAAGAGCCTGCAGACACACTAGCTGCCAGGCTCAGATAACCGTCTGAGACGGCAGCAACCAGCCCCAGCGTTTCCCAAAGCTTGAGATGTCTACTTTTCCTCCTCTGAGGACCTGAATGCCGCAGACCCACCGCTTCCAGGAAAACAACCTGGCCCGCGCAGCTTGGTGTGCTGCCAAGGCCATCTTGTCTGCAGCAAACGCTGGCGCTGAGGTCCGGCACGCAGAGCACGGCTCGGCCAGCGTTGCTGGATGGTGGGATGGGAAGCAGGTGGGAAACCTCAGGAGGAGCAAGAGCTTCCAGAGGGATGGACCATCACGAAGCTCTCAGGTCTAGGAAGCTGGATAGGGACCCTGCCAAAAAGGACCTGGGGGTGACGGTAGACGCCAGGTCAAATATAAGCCAAACATCCATCCTGTGAATCAAGTAAACCACAAACTTCTCCTTTAGGAGAAGTGGAGCCAGCAGATGGAGGGAAGAGCAAAGCCAGCGCGCACCAGTGCGGGGAGGTTCCTGTGATCCAGAATACCCTGAAACAGACCCATTCAAACCATATTTTTGGCAAAGAGAAAGGAGGCATTGGACACGAGAAGATCTAGGCTGCCGGCACTCTGCAGCTCCGGCAGCGGGCAGCAAAGGCTGCTGGCCTCTCGCTGGCTGCTCCCCGAGGCATGGCCTAATGACGGCCGCAGGCAAGCTTCCATTCGGAAAGAATTTAATTTTTTTCCGCAAACATTATCAAAACTAGGAAATCCAGTTAGGCACATGGAGTCTGAGAGGGGGGCCGTGGCCTCGGGTGGAGAAGAGCGTAGAGGCAGGGGGGCGCGGTGCCTGTGAGGGAGAAGAAACGAACCAGGAGCTGCAGGCACCAGGACGCGCAGAGGTTCCCAGAGAGCAGAGACAACAGACGGCGACGCCTGCTCCAACTCCCATTTATTGAACATAACAAAATACTCTGCATATATTTTCACATTAAAACGATATTCTTGCAAATAGGATATTAAGTCTTGAGTCATTGGTCGTGCCCACGGCTACAGAAAACACTGACCCAGCTAGAGATTTAGTACGGCCCCGTATCAGAAATCAAAGCCAGAATAAGGCATACCAGAAATGCAAAACTATATAAAAACCTTTTAAAAACCTCATGCTCATCTGGCAGAACAGGTAGAGAGCAGAACAGCCTTCGCTGAGCCTTGTGGACAGTAGCAGGGGTACCGCCGGCTGGCCTGTCCCACGTTGGGCTCACTCACCCAGCGTATCTAAGTGTCCCCCTGTCACCTGCCATCTCAGCATGCCCACCCAGCTGGAACAGGCAGTTAATTACCTGCTCTGGGGAATTAACAGCCCAAGTCCCCATTCTTCCCTAAGAGGAGCATCCCCAACCCTCCCGTGTTGCCCGTGCCCAGCTGCCGTGCTGAGCTTTTGCACACCAAGCAGTCCTTGGGGAGGAATTCTTGGCCCTTGGGGTCACACCAGGAATAATTCCCTGTGTGGGCCATTGCCACCGCGTCCCACCACCCTCTCAGGAGGGACCAGGGGTGGCTGGGAGGCAGGTGGCGGGGACAGACCTTTGAAGATGCACTCAGCTCTCACCCATCACCCTGAGAGCTCTCACCCATTCATACCTGCTGCTCGCTCCACTCCTCGCACCATGACCAGCCCTCCCAGCTGATGGGCCCCAGGCCAACTGGAGGGACTGGGATGTGGGCAGGTTGAATGCCAAAGATGCTGTGCAAAGGCAGCTGCCTCCCAGCAAAGCCAGAAAGCTGAACACCGCAGCTTTCGGGAACACATCCAGACGAGAGGCGTGAGGCTGGCACAGCAGGTTGGCTGCTAGAGGAGTCCCTGTGCGTACTGGTTCACTAGTCCGGCTCCTGGTGGAGCCAAACCCCAGGAGCGCTGCTCCCAGTCCTGAGAAGGTTATGGCCTTGCCTCTGCGGTACCTCCATAACCTGGGGAACGCAGAGCTGCCATGGCAAGGAGCACATCTCTGGCCTCCTGGCTGAGCTCCGTGCATGCTGTGAGGAACCCAGCACTGGAGCCACCTTGAAGGAGCCACCACATCCCCACCTTGGGGCGGCACAGCCACGACGGGATCGAGTCCGGCTGGGATCCCAGCCCTGGGAGGAACATCTCTGGCCTCCCAGCGCTGTGAAGATGTGTAGGGACCAGAGAGGAAGGAAGAGGTTTGAAGGTCTGTGCCTCCCTGGGTGGACAGGGGTTGGTACCTGCTGTCGCAGCACGAAGCCCAGTTGTTGACCAGTTTTTGCATCAGTAGGTGCATAAGCAGAGCCCATCCCGGAGTGCAGCTCCTGGGGGAGTACTGGGCTCTCCTGCCACTCCTGGAGTTTATGGAGACACACACAAGCTTTACAACGCAAACCAGCCAAGCGCTCAGCGGGTCACAGCCCGTCCGCAGCCCCCAGCCCCTTCCCCATCCGCGGTCTGCCTCAGAGGTGGCTCGCTCTGTTGAACATCAGCCATCTGGGCTCCGTGGTGGGCACCATCCTGCCCTGCTCCTCTGTGGCCATCAAAGGCTGCAGCTCCTGCTGCTCGGCTCCATCCGGGCTGCTGTCGCTCTGCGACCTGCCACTCTTAGAGACGTGGCTGGGGAACTGGAAGCAGGAGCTCTGCTCCGGCATCGCCTGGCTCGCAGACTGGGGTCGCTCCTCCAGCACAGGGCAGGCGAATCTCCTGTGCTGAGGTCCGCTCTCGATGCCTGGAGGGGAAGCGATGCTCTCCAAGGAGGAAATGCTTTGGTTCCATGCCTTCTGCATATCCACTGGCACGATTTTGGTGGTCTCCGAGGAGACATAAACAGCCAGATCAGCCTGGTCTCCTTTCCACGGCAGCTCCTTCTCTGCCAAGGTGGGCGATGGTGGGATGATGCAGGGGCTGGGGCAGACATCCAGGCTGCCTGGGGGTGCAGAAGGAGGGACAGTGAGAGGGATCTTGCACAGCTCTCGCTCTCCCCCTGGGCCCTGCAAACACTGCAGACCTGACCACTACCAGCTGGCCAGCTGGCCCAGGGATGTAGGAGCCACCAGGAAGCCCAAGGAGGCTCTGCCGTCCCTCTAAAGCCACAGAGAAGAGTGATTCTGCCATTCATGCTCTGATGACTTTGGTTTTGCCCAGGCTGAGACAACTTTGCTCCGCAGGTGGAGGAAGGACAAGCTACCCAAGAGCAGCCGCCCTGGCATGGGAGCACCAGTGCCTACCAGGAGTTGTCTTTCCCTGCAGGACCTCATCGGTGGCTCGAGCGACAAATACGATCCCTTCATCATCCTCTCTCTCTGTCTCCGAGCTATCACTCTCCTCCTCCTCTGAGCTGACCATCACAAGGACAGGAGCTGCAGCAGGATGGAAGGAGTTGGTTTGGAGGATGGGGCACCCAGTGGGGGAAGGACTGCACCCATGAGAGAAGGACTTGGTGCTGGTGGGGTGCTGTCATGCACCAAGCTGGCAGTGGACAGGCACATCCCACCCGACCAGGTCCCCTTGCCGGGACCTGCACACCTTGCCTGCCACCAGCCCTACCTGCCTCCTGCCAGGGGACGTTTCTGTGCGTCTTCCCATTGGGTGCGTCACTGGTCAGAGAGATGTTCTTCTGCGAAGGAAGAGGGACCGGCTGAGACCTGCCTCGTGCAAACCCCTAACCCCAACCCTGGTGGCCCTGCAAGCCGGTGTAACCCCAGGGATGGAGATTCCCACCCCGGCTAGATGGCAGCTGGCAGTCAGTGGTCCCTAGTCCTTAGACTTAGTTGGGTCTTCATGGCCCTACAGCAAACAGCTCAGCTGCAATGGCTTCGAGAGCCTCCAAATGAGAGAAAACACCCAAGGCTTAATTCAAGGTGCAGTACCACGCTTCTGAGCTCAGATCTGCACCGACTTCCAGGCTACTTTGTGCTGAGTGCTCTTGGAAAACAAACGTGGGGCTCCTCCAGGGCTCGGGACAGCTTTGCCCAGGGAACAGCCGCCCCGCGGCAGTGCCGGTGTGGTGAAGACACACAGACTTGCGACACCCACGTGCTCACACGCAGCATAGCAGGACTGAGATGAGATGAACAGCTCTGCCCCGTGGCTCTGGAGCTGCTGATGCCCTGCAGCACCTCAACTAATCCCTAAAGGACCTCACTGTCTGCAGCCTGGGGGAGGCCAAATCTCAGAGCTAGGAAGGGAACAGGCGTTTGGGGAACGCTTGCCTTTTTTCTCCCCTTTTCCTTCAGCCTGGCCTTGCTCTTGGAGGAGCAGACGTTGTGCTTTGTGGACTTGAAGGTCTCCAGCCGCCTCTTCATGTTCTGCCGGAAGATTTCTTTATCTTGGCGCTCTTGTTTATCTGGAGAGATGAAGTGACGGCTGTAGCTGGCCTTGTACTGGCCGAGGGAGAGGCAAAGAGACAGAGGGTGAGCAGCTGGCCCCACGGAGCATCCTCCATCCCTGCTCCTCTTGCGGGTGCTGCGACCCTCCCTGGTGCCCTCTGCCCCATGCCAGACCCCTGCATTTGCCCTGGTCCTCCCTGCATCTGCCTCGGTGCCACCTGCATCGCGTCAGTGTCCTCTGCCCCACGCCAGTCCCCTGGCTCCTTCCCAGTGCCTCCTGCCCCATGCCAGACCCCTGGCTCCTGCTGCGGTCCCCCCCGCATCCCCCTGGTGCCCCTGGCTCCTGCCCCATGCCCCGGCGGCTCCGCACCGTGTCGATCACCTGCAGGTCCAGGCACGCTCCGCTCCCGCTTTCCCTCCTTGCGGGGTGGGGAAAGATGGAGATGACGGAGATGCTGGGCTCCATGCCAGCTTCCTGCCAGCCCTGGCACGACACACGCCCAGGGAAGGGGGTGGCTGCAGGGGTCCAGCGAGGTCTGCCCAGGGGTTTGGAGGGATGCTCATACTCACAGGAGGTTTGTGACCGACGACTCCGACATGGACGTGCGGCTGGGCATGGAGGGAAGCGCCAGCTTGGCAGCCGAGAGCACATGGCCACCCTGGGAGGTTGGGAGGGCAAAGCTGGCAGAGGGGCAGCAAGGACCTAGCTGGGCTGGAGGGGCTCCCCACCT